TTTAAGGATTCTGTGGAGAATTAAGGATTTCCAAAAAAAAGGATAATACTGATTTTACTGACTTTCCCATTTCCATCCTGATCCTCTCTTCTCCTCGTTTTCTGCTCCTTCTCTTCTACACTCAGCCCACTTCCCCTTCACCGCTCCTAAACATCCTCCATTTTATGAGGTTCCGGGGAAAACCAAGCCGTTCCTCGAGAGTCTGGGAGGTATTATATCACACGCACTACCCACAGGAAGAGGCTTCCTCTCAGATTTCCCCTCTCTGCCACCCTGGGGCTGACAGCTGGCTGGCACACACGGGGCAACTGGCAGCTGGCACGCAAGAGCAGAGAGAGCCAAGAACAAAACCGGAGAAAAGCCATCAAAGAATCAAGCACATGAGGAAATAGACGGAGGAGATCAAATGGAGAAAAGCAGTAATGACAACAATTATCCCAGGATAGCTCACTCGCTCACTCACTGGGTTTCCCATCTGTGTCGATTACTTATACATTTTCATCCGTTAAAGGAATACTCCATTTTTATCTCTAATCTCCGTGATTACCACTGATGAGAATTTGGACTCATTTCCCTGCACTGAGAAAACACTTATAGTAGAAGTCTAAGGGCAGATGTTCATCTCCACCATTAAATGTTTAAATTTATAAGTACAAATTTAAATCTGCAGCCGTTCCACAGGAACAATGAGACAGACCTGAGAGGAAATCTTCTAATAAAAGATCTTAAGGACTTTTATCCAACTTTCCAACAGTAAAAAGTAGTTCTGTTGTAGTAACTTTACACGTTCCTGAAGGTTTTGTGTTTCCATACGCCATCAGAGACACACAACTCACAAATTCCTCCCTCTGAAAAAGTAGCTCCATCTCAGAAAGGAGCGATTTGACACCTTTACAGCTTCATTTACACACAAATATATATTTAACTGAAGAGTTTAATGAAAGTGTGGAGACAGAAAGTTCAAAAGTTCCACCCTTAGTCCTCTGAAATTTACGGCATTTGGCAGACGCACTTATCCAGAGCGACTTACAATTATCTCATTTATACAACGGAGGGTTAAGGGCCTTGCTCATGGGCCCAGGAGTGGCAGCTTGGTGGTGCTGAGATTTGATCTCACAACCTTCTGATCAGAAGTCCAACATATTAACCACTGAGCTACCACTTCCCTGTTAATACATTTTAAAATATTTTTTAATAAATTCCTGTACTCTGAGGAGGACAAAAAAACAAGGAGGACGAAGATGATGGGGTGAAGTCACATGGTCTCTTTGTTCTCCCGCTACGCCGCGCTCATGAGGCAGAAATATAAATTGAAATAATGTAGGGAAAAAGAACAGTTTAATAAAAGCTTGGAGAAACAGTATGACGTCTGATCGAATGTTCACTTACCCATAACACAGTCATTCTGGCGCATCTGAGCACAGCCGAGCCTCCGTAATTTAAAGTATTGAATGTTTGGCTGCATCTGAGCTCCGAGGCCTTCGTGTCAATAAACGATTCAATACGCGAGGGAGAAAAAACCCTGAGGAGCGTCCAGAACCCGGTCATGTGACCTGCACGCTGGGAATAAACACGCGTGGAGCCGCTTCTTTAGGGTAGTGCATCAGTGCAGAGACACAAGCTGGAGGGAAAGAAAGGAAGGAAGGAAGGAAGGAAGGAAAGCCTCTACTAAAAAAAGAAAGAAAGAAAGAACGAAAGACTCTACAAATGAATGAAAGAAAGAAAGAAAGAAAGAAAGCCTCTACAATGAAAGATAGATAGAAAAAAGAAAGAAAAGCTCTATGTATGTATGAAAGAAAGAAAGAAAGAAAGAAAGCCTCTACAAACGAAAGAAAGATAGAAAAAAGAAAGAAAGAAAGACTCTACAAATGAAAGAAAGACTCTACAAATGAAAGAAAGAAAGAAAGGCTCTATGCATGAAAGAAAAAAGAAAAAAGAAAGAAAGAAAGAAAGAAAGGAAGGAAGGAAGGAAGGAAAGCCTCTATAAATGAAAGAAAGAAAGAAAGCCTCTACTAAAAAAAGAAAGAAAGAAAGAAAGAAAGACTCTACAAATGAAAGAAAGAAAGAAAGAAAGAAAGCCTCTACAAATGAAAGATAGATAGAAAAAAGAAAGAAAGAAAGAAAGAAAGAAAGCCTCTACTAAAGAAAGAAAGACTCTACAAATGAAAGAAAGGCTCTATGCATGAAAGAAAAAAGAAAGAAAGAAAGAAAGGCTCTATGCATGAAAGAAAAAAGAAAAAAGAAAGAAAGAAAGATAGAAAGAAAGAAAGAAAGGTTCTGTGTATATATGAAAGAAAGAAAGAAAGAAAGCCTCTACAAATGAAAGAAAGAAAGAAAGAAAGAAAGCCTCTACAAATGAAAGAAAGAAAGAAAGAAAGAAAGGCTCTATGCATGAAAGAAAAAAGAAAAAAGAAAGAAAGAAAGGAAGAGAGAGAGAAAGAAAGATGTCTACTTTCCCCTGAAGTTGCCAGACCTCGAGCGCTCTCAGGCCTGATCAATTAAAATTATAATATATTTTTAAGTATAAAATTAATTTTAATTATAATTATATATTATAATAATGGGGGGGGGGGGGGG